ATAAGTTTTCCCATAATTGTGGCTCAATTTCTTTTCGCATGTATTGCCGATTTTGATCCAAATTATCCAAAAAATTCTAAAGTAATATAACATTTGTCTCCCTATTTTTAAAAAATATTTTTAATTAATATAAATATTATTTTAATACAGAATTTATGCCCAGAATACCAAGCTTCATTTTTATCTCGTCTCTCATTTGAATGGTATAGTCCTTTGATATACAGAGGGTACAGAAAACCTTTGACTACCGATGATATGTGGGATTTAAACACTGAGAATAAATCAAGTTTTATAATTGAAAAGTTTAATAAAGTTTGGCTACCGATCATTCGACGCAAATGGGAGGTTAAGGATAACACTTTGAGTCAAAACATGAATATTTTAAAAGGAATTTTAAAGACATTTTGGTCGGAAATGCTTTTTGTTGCATTTATCAAATTAATTGCAAGCGTTTTAACTTTTGTTAATCCATTACTATTGGATTTAATTATCGGATACATGTCCCCAGACAATACCGAACCCGAATGGAGGGGATATTTTTATGCATTTCTAATGTTTTTGTCGCCGTTTACTGAATCAATACTTAACGGCCTAATCCATTACTATTGGATTTAATTATCGGATACATGTCCCCAGACAATACCGAACCCGAATGGAGGGGATATTTTTATGCATTTCTAATGTTTTTGTCACCGTTTACTGAATCAATACTTAACGGCCAATATGAATACAGAAACAGTTTAATTGCAATGAAAGTTCGGGCCTGTATTATATCAGTCGTCTATAAAAAGGTTTGTATGCATTTCTAATGTTTTTGTCGCCGTTTACTGAATCAATACTTAACGGCCAATATGAATACAGAAACAGTTTAATTGCAATGAAAGTTCGGGCCTGTATTATATCAGTCGTCTATAAAAAGGTTTGGAATTCATTGATAAGTTTATAGATTTATATTTTTATAAACCGTTTGTACTTTGTATGACCAGAATCTAAGTTTATCGAGTAATGGACGTAAGAGTTATACAACTGGAGAAATAGTGAACCTAATGGCAGTCGATTCGCAACGAATTATGGATTTCTTAGCAATGGTTAACATCTTATGGTCGGCACCGCTTCAAATCGGTATCGCTCTCTACATGCTATGGCAACAGTTAGGCATTTCAACTCTGGCCGGAATAGTGTTTATGATCGTATTGATGCCAATGAACGGTATGATGGCCACCAAAATGAGGACACTTCTGGGAGAAGTCATGAAAATGAAAGATAAAAGAGTGAAACTAATGAACGAAATATTAAGCGGTATTAAAGTGTTTAAATTGTATTCTTGGGAGACATCGTTCAAAGAGCAGGTGGTCTCACTTCGGGAAACTGAAGTCAAGTCACTTAATAAGACGGCATACCTGAGCACTTCCATGGCATTTACATTTGTTTCGGCACCCTTTTTTGTACGTTTATATAAACGTCTAATGTTCATAACTTTTATTTTAATTTCTTCATTTTATTAAATGAAAGGTCGGTTTATTCAGTTTCACGGCGTATGTTATGATATCCGCGGATAATATATTAAATGCAAATAAAATATTTGTTTCACTATCGCTCTTCAATATAATGAGTAAATATAATTTTTAAAATTATTAAAACATTAATTAACTTATAATTGGTTATCACAGGAGGTCCATTTAGTTTTCTCCCAATGTTATTTTCATTCGGTGCTATGGTTTGTATTATAATATTTCTGTATTTCAATCATTTTAATTAATTTTATGAATTTCAGTTTTTGGTGTCTCTTCGAAGAGTAAATGATTATTTAAATGCCGAAGAATTAGACGAGACATCCATTTCCCATAAGGAGGATAAAGAGACTCCTGTTATGGTGGAGAACGCCACCTTCAAGTGGACCAGTGATAGCCCGACAGTCCTTAAGAATATTAATTTCAGAGTTAAAAGGAATAAATTGGTGGCAATTGTGGGTCAGGTGGGTTTTCTCGCCTATCAATCAATTGATGCAAACATTGAAACAGTTTATTAAACTTGACTTCTAATGAAACTTTCCATAAAACAGATTATTTGTCACTTTCTTATAAATAGTGAAATATTGCGAAACTTCAGTGTTTGCCTTCATTTGACTCATCTCTCAAACCTATTTAACATGAAATACTTATTGAATAAAAAGTTTCTTTTCTTCAAATGAAGTCCAAAATCTTTACAAATAATGACTTTATTTCGTCGATAAGTCTTTTTTGGGTCTGAAGTTCAACGAGTGATCCAAACAAATTTTCTCGCCTATCAATCAATTGATGCAAACATTGAAACAGTTTATTAAACTTGACTTCTAATGAAACTTTCCATAAAACAGATTATTTGTCACTTTCTTATAAATAGTGAAATATTGCGAAACTTCAATGTTTGCCGTCATTTGACATGAAATACTTATTGAATAAAAAGTTTCTTTTCTTCAAATGAAGTCCAAAATCTTTACAAATAATGACTTTATTTCGTCGATAAGTCTTTTTTGGGTCTGAAGTTCAACGAGTGATCCAAACAAATACATGAAATACTTATTGAATAAAAAGTTTCTTTTCTTCAAATGAAGTCCAAAATCTTTACAAATAATGACTTTATTTCGTCGATAAGTCTTTTTTGGGTCTGAAGTTCAACGAGTGATCCAAACAAATAGTGTTATTCAATGATAAAGTCTTGAATTGAATTTATTTTCAATAACTGTTTCAAATCAAAATAGTGTTGAGAAGACTGCGCGTCGTTTGCTAATCACTGATCACTCATTCAATACAAATGAACGCCAATTATATCTTATATTTGTATTCAATTCAATCACTTTAAACGATATGAAAGTTGACTTTAAGTCATAGTTTGTTTCTTTTAAGACGTTTTTCTATTAATAAATCAGTTTTTTCTCAAGTCATGTGTAAATTGAGAATAATTCTACTCTTCCTGTCAGTCGCTGTATTTGGGACTCAAATATCGAAACTGACAGTCGAGTCAAAGGCTCTGTTATGTCACCCGTCGCCCAAATGGACAGTCAATAACGGAAGCGATCCCATGAGGGAGTCCTTAGGGAACGTGACTCTCGTCGCCCTAATCAACGCCTCGTATCGGTTCGGCTTAAAACAGGCCTCGAGTTTGGAAAATATTTTGAGATTTCTCAAGAAGTCTGGACTAAAGGACATTCACTTTATTTTAATTAATTCCAAGGATTTGGATGCAAAACAGAAACTCAAAGATCTGACACAAAAAGTGTCTTTTGGTGTGTATCAGGAAAATTAAGATTTCTCAAGAAGTCTGGACTAAAGGACATTCACTTTATTTTAATTAATTCCAAGGATTTGGATGCAAAACAGAAACTCAAAGATCTGACACAAAAAGTGTCTTTTGGTGTGTATCAGGAAAATGGCAACGAATTGGTGTGGAATGCATTGGACGGTGGCAAAGATGATATGTTCATATATGACAGGTATACACAAACTGACCATAAACTTGGTGAATTTTGTTCACTTCTAAATAGTTTATACGTGAATTATTATTTTTTATGTCCACAGATGTGGTCTTTTGACATATTATATACCCTTCCCGTTAAGTATAATCCACCCCCAACAGCCTATACTTCAAGCGGCACTTCTGTCGACCTATTTTGATAATCCTTGCGGCGAGTCGTGTGACTCAATACCATCTGATATCAGTCCCATCAATACTACTTTGATTATGGATTCAGTGAATATAACCACTGAGTCTTCATTGAGTTCAGGGTCTGATCCCTTGAATAACACTTCGTTTAACGTAACATTCGATCAAACATTTCCTGAAGGATTAAATGAGTCGAAAGTCTTTGAATCCAATGTTACGATAATTGATTTGAGAGATGAGAATGTGATTGTCTTTGAGACCACAGAAGCGAGTGATTCAGTGGTCGTTGAAGATGGTAGTGGTTCGGGAAGTGGTGACGCGCCCATTGAAGAGGTGTTAGAAATGAGCACTGAATCCATAGGAATGACAAATGGAAGCAATAGCTCATTGAAAGAGGAAGAGTGGAAGACTTTGGAGATGATTAATGGCAAAGATAACCGCTCGGATAAAGACATTTTCGATGATATCTATAATAAAAGTATTGCAGAATTGGAACCGATTTCGATGACTGACTCAACAGTTGTCGAGACATTGAATGAAACGAAAACGACTACAGAATTGACAGAAGTGTTGAATGCATGGAACGATACTCAGACTACCAGTGCCTCACCCCAAAAGCCTTCAAACCCTCTGAGGACGAGAATATCATTCTTCAACTCCGCCTCCAAAGCCAAGTGCGAGACATTCAATCAGTCGATGTGTATGGAGTGGTCGACCGATCGTCTCCTTCGCGCCCGACTCTGTTGTCTGACGGATGTGTTGGCCGACGAGGACTCCGGGTTTGGTTGCGGACACTTTGAACGATCCAAATGTAATCGTATGCTTCCTCTCATCAAATGCTGTTTAAAAGATTTTTCGCAACTTTTAAACAACTATTTCCAAACGGTTCGCGTCACTCCTCGGCCTTTACGACAGAGAAATCAGTAATTGTTTGAATAATTTATACGGAATACCATTACATTCACGTAAAGGTTGTTCAAAGATATGATAACATTAGAGATAAGTGAGAGGTTTTCAGGAGTTTTTCAATCAATCCTTTGTATAATTATTTATCAAAATATTTTCTCTTTTAACGTTCATTTCGTAAACATTTTGATTATAACCATAAAAATCTCATTTGTTTTAAGAATTATTTGATGTTTTGAAAGTAAATGTGAAATAATATTAAGAATTAATATATTTTATTTGTAAAATATATTTAAAATTTAATTATAAAATAATTTATTTTCTAATATGTATGTTGTCTAAAAATAAGTTATGTTCTGAATATACAATAGCTTTAAGAAATTTGAACAATAAATTAATTTTTGTCTTGATTTTAATGAATAAGTTTTAAACTAAAAATTGATGAAATGATTGTCTATTTTATATGAATTATTCTGTCTTTGAGATCAAATTTGCTTCTTTAGCCATTGAATAAAATATTGAGTCTGTTTTGGACATTAGATGTTTGGGTGAATCAAATTCAGCGATCATTCCTCTATCCATAACCAAAACTCTATCGTAATCTATGATTGTATTCAATCGGTGGGCAATCGTCACAATAGTGGACAACGAAAACTCCTTTCTGATGGTCTCCTGAATCAAGTCATCCGTTTCCATATCGACCGCTATAAGCAATTTAATGGTTAGTCAAAGACATAAAGAGTGAACTCACGAGTGAACATACCTGCCGTCGCCTCATCCAACACAAGGATCTTAGTTCTCCTCAACAGAGCTCTCGCCAAACAGACCAACTGTTTCTGTCCGACACTTAAGTTCTCTCCGCCCTCTGATATCTGATAACTTAAACCGTTTTCAACGGATTCCACAAAACTCTTGAGATGAGCCGATTCTAATGCCCTCCAGATCTCAGTGTCCGAGTGTTGATCGAAAGGATCCAAATTAATACGCAAAGTGCCGGTAAAAAGTGCCGGATCTTGAGGTATGACAGTAAGCCTGGACCTTAAGTCATGTAAACCGAGTGATTTAATATCAATGTTATCGATGACAATGTTTCCGTCGACGGGCTCTATAAGTCTGAAGAGAGCCAAAGTGAGCGATGATTTTCCAGCGCCGGTTCGACCAACGATTCCCACCTTTTCGTTGGGCTTTATATCTAATGTTATATTCTTGAGGACCAGATCTAATCCCTCTCTATATCTGGTGCTATAATTATTGAATCTTATGGCCCCCTTCTCGGGCCAATCACCATTGGGTTTGTTGTGGTCGTCAAACAATTCCGCCTAAAAAAGTCATCAATAATTGAATTAAAACTAATTGTATAAGTAATCAAACTATTAATACCTCGGTCGGAGTCTTGGTATATTCAATGATTCTCTCAATGGATACAATATTTGTTTCCAAATCAGTAACACTCTTAACAAACATCGATAATATGCTGGTTATACTCATTGAATAACTAATGGCCAGACCGGCCATCCCAGGGCTAAGACTATCGCGATATATAATGGCGAATATAGCAGAAAAAAATATAATTAAATTTCCTAAAAATTCGAGTCTAACTGATAGCCAACGAGCGGCTGTAAAACTGGGATAATAGCAGATATGATTGGCATCCACTCTGTTATTGGACTCTTCAATGAACTGTTCCGTCGCACCGAAGGCCCGAATACTTGTCGATCCGTTAACTGTTTCACTGAAATGATTATAAATCGGTGAACGACTGGTTGAGTCAATTCGTTTCAATTGACGAGACGTTGAGATATATATTCTTTGAAACAAGAAGTAAATGAAAGCCAACGGAACGATGAGGGATAAAATGATGGGCGTCTCGAGAGCTATCATTGAAAACGAGACAATCACTCTGAAGAACATATTGAACATCATTCTTATGTTAATCAATAGACTCATTTCTGCGGTGTCCACGTCTTTAGAGAATCGGTTTAATACTCGTCCGACTGGTGTTGTGTCTGCGAATGAATTCTCATAAGAATTTTATTAAAACAAAAGTCAATGAATTAATACCAAAGAAAGCCATCGGCGCTCTTAGGATACGGAAAAGCATTCTGTTGTGCAATAGTTTTGCCGCACGAATACACGACAGAGTTAGTAATAGATGTGCCGATAGAGTGAATAAAGTTTCAGACAAACCAATGCCCGCATATACACCGAGTCTCATATCTCTTAAATGGGTGTCATTTGCTTTTTGGGGGTCGAGTGCATCGTTAGACCATTCGCTGAGCCAAAGACCGGAACCAATTGTGGCCCCATTTGCAGCCATATAGAAGAATATTACCAGTCCTATTAGATGCCATCCAATCATTTGGAAGTAGTTTGTATAGACTTCAAACTTAACGGATCCAGTTTCAGATGTTTCTGCTTCAATAAGTTTACCACCTTTTCGTTTCTGACCCTTTCCTTTAGCTTCACTTTTATCCTCTTTAGGCTCTTTCCCCTTAGAACTGGTGACACTCGTAGATCTGACTGAGAATTGTCTTCTTATGTCACTTTCATGTCCAGATCGCACTGACATTTGCCTTTCAATGAAAGGCTTAACCTTTTCCCTCAACTCATCGATTACTTCCATCTCCTCCTCATTCACATCTTCAGAGTCCGTTTGCTGAAGAATATATTCGGCAACGAATTCAGCGAAATCTCCTTTATTTGCGATCAACTCTTCAAAAGTTCCCGATTCAGAGATCGCGCCGTCTTTTAATACAATGATTTGGTCCACATTTGTCAGAACCGATGCCCTGTGGGTCACCAGAAGCCGGGTCTTGTGTTTAAGTATTCCGTTGGGACCAATCACTTGGTCCATAATATGTCGGCCAACATGTGCATCAACCGCACTGTTTATATGACAATTGTTTGATCAGTACATTATTCAGTATAATAAATTCAAGTTAATTTGAATACCTGAGCGGGTCGTCCAGCAAATAAATGTCAGCATTAGAATAGACAGCTCTGGCGAGAGATACCCGTTGTTTCTGACCGCCAGACAAATTGATTCCCTTTTCCCCGATTTCAGTCATATCTCCAGCCGATAAGACCTTCAAATCCGGTTCTAAAGCACACGATTCTAAGACTTTCTTATAAAATCTTTCGTTTAAAGAATTTGTGAACAGAATATTCTGTTTTAGAGTGCAATTTTGAATCCACGCCTGTTGTGGAACATAAGCGATAGTTCCGCTAATATTGACGATGCCTTTGATTTTCTCCAAATCACCCAATAGTGAAGAAAGTAGTGAAGACTTGCCAACCCCTACCTGACCTACAATTGCCACCAATTTATTCCTTTTAACTCTGAAATTAATATTCTTAAGGACTGCCGGGCTATCATTGGTCCACTTGAAGGTGGCGTTCTCCACCATAACAGGAGTCTCTTTATTCCCACCTGACCTACAATTGCCACCAATTTATTCCTTTTAACTCTGAAATTAATATTCTTAAGGACTGTCGGGCTATCACTGGTCCACTTGAAGGTGGCGTTCTCCACCATAACAGGAGTCTCTTTATTCTCCTTATGGGAAATGGATGTCTCGTCTAATTCTTCGGCATTTAAATAATCATTTACTCTTCGAAGAGACACCAAAAACTGAAATTCATAAAATTAATTAAAATGATTGCAATACAGAAATTTTATAATACAAACCATAGCACCGAATGAAAGTAACATGGGTAGAAAACCAAGTGGACCTTCTGTGATAACCAATTATAAGTTAATTAATGTTTTAATAATTTTAAAATTATATTTACTCATTATATTGAAGAGCGAGAGCGAAACAAATATTTTATTTGCATCTAATATATTATCCGCGGATATCATAACATACGCCATGAAACTGAATAAACCGACCTTTCATTTAATAAAATTAAGAAATTAAAATAAAAGTTATGAACATTAGACGTTTATATAAACGTACAAAAAAGGGTGCCGAAACAAATGTAAATGCCATGGAACTGCTCAGGTATGCCATCTTATTAAGTGACTTGACTTCAGTTTCCCGAAGTGAGACCACCTGCTCTTTGAACGATGTCTCCCAAGAATACAATTTAAACACTTTAATACCGCTTAAGATTTCGTTCATTAGTTTCACTCTTTTATCTTTCATTTTCATGACTTCTCCCTGAAATTTCCTCATTTTGGTGGCGATTATACCGTTCATTGGCATCAATACGATCATAAACACCATTCCGGCCAGAGTTGAAATGCCTAACTGTTGCCATAGCATGTAGAGAGCGATACCGATTTGAAGCGGTGCCGACCATAAGACGTTAACCATTGCTAAGAAATCCATCATTCGTTGCGAATCGACTGCCATTAGGTTCACTATTTCTCCAGTTGTGTAACTCTTACGTCCATTACTCGATAAACTTAGATTCTGGTCATACAAAGTACAAACGGTTTATAAAAATATAGATCTATAAACTTATCAATTAATTGCATTCACAAACCTTTTTATAGACGACTGATATAATACAGGCCCGAACTTTCATTGCAATTAAACTGTTTCTGTATTCATATTGGCCGTTAAGTATTGATTCAGTAAACGGTGACAAAAACATTAGAAATGCATAAAAATATCCCCTCCATTCGGGTTCGGTATTGTCTGGGGACATGTATCCGATAATTAAATCCAATAGTAATGGATTGACAAAAGTGAGAACGCTTGCAGTTAATTTGATAAATGCAACAAAAAGCATTTCCGACCAAAATGTCTTTAAAATGCCTTTTAAAATATTGATGTTTTGACTCAAAGTGTTATCCTTAACCTCCCATTTGCGGCGAATGATTGGTAGCCAAACTTGATTAAACTTTTCAATTATAAAACTTGATTTATTCTCAGTGTTTAAATCCCACATATCATCGGTAGTCAAAGGTTTTCTGTACCCCCTGTATATCAAAGGACTATACCATTCAAATGAGAGACGAGATAAAAATGATGCTTGGTATTCTGGGCATAAATTCTGTAATAAAATAATATTTTTATTAATTAAAAATATTTTTTTAAAATAGGGAGACAAATTTTATATTACTTTAGAATTTTTTGGATAATTTGGATCAAAATCGGCAATACATGCGAAAAGAAATTGAGCCACAATTATGGGAAAACTTATCACTTTTGTTGTGTAATAATATTCATCAACACTAAAGTCATAACCAGTTTTCTATGTGATTAAAATGAAATAATTTAAAAATGAAATAATCATAAATATGATTAACAAAAGTAATTACATCGTTGTAAACAACGCTTAGAATTGTGCGAATGTTAAGAGTGGCTCCGATTGTGTAGAGAAACCAAAATAAAAACATTACTCCAGAGGAATATATTCGGTGTTTTCGGTAAAAATATTGTAAAACAATAACATAAATCTAATGAAAAATGATTTAATGCAAAATAAATTAATCTAAAATTTAGATTTCTAAATCTACCATTTTAGACTATTATTCTTATTATTTATCAATACTTACGAAAGTAAATGCTTTGGCAAATAGTGTGAAAGTTTTGAGACCATTAAAATCATTTTTTATTTCGTACACCAAGTCAACGATTGTGATTATGAATAATGAAAGCGATAAAATCTGATCACAAATAAATTAAGATAATAGCAATTAAAATTTAAAAACTAAACTTTTTTATTTTGTTATACAAAACTTACGAATCTAATTATTAAGAGAGCCGTGAATGGAAGTGGAGGTTCATTATTATTTGTGAAAAACTTTGAAATTTCAACACATGATAATACAAATAAAACTAAGCAAGGTAATAGTATGAACACTGTTTCCTCGAAACATAGTGTAAAATCCGGAAATGAAGTGGAATTCCAACTTAACTCCAAGTCCTAAATTTGTTGCAAAAAATTAATAAGAATACTAAATTGAATTAAATAATAATAACTTACCCAAAATCTTGCTGAACAAAAAGCAGACATTTCGTAAAACACATTAAACCAGAATCGAGAGAATACAACACATATAAAGCATATACCAAATTATAGCAAATAAGTGCAACGAGTAGTTTTGTATTGCAATATACAGTATATAACACTTATAAAAAACTACTACTTGTCGTTCGTTTCACGAATTTAATCAAAATCTCTGCAGAATTTGCTTTTATTATTATTTAATCAGTTCTTGTTTTCATAATAAACACCCAATTGTTATATTAATATTGATAAAACCAATCTATGATCGCTCCGTTATTGAATGCGATTTTATGTTATAATTAACTAATGCCTCACTTATTAATCAGGTAAAATTTATATTGTCTTAGCATTTGAAACAATTGCAACAAAACTGAGATTTAAGTCAAACAAACAATAGGATGGTTTCAATTTTATTGTAAATTATATATAATATAAACTGGATTTCAGAGGCGCTTATAGTGACGTTGACCAATCAACTTTTTTATTTGTATCAATACATCTATTTTCCAATTAAGATATCGCACTACTCAGGAATATGCAAAATATCAATAACTTATCCACTTATCCCACTATTAAAGTGCAAACGTTCCTACATTTGTATTTGTAATACTATCTAGCAACTTGTTTATATCTGCTAATTAGAATATTAATTCTATCTATTACACTATAATATATAATATTATTATTATTCCACTAAGAAATAAATCAATAAAGAGTTTAATTATATTTCTTTAATATCAAACATTAATGAATCCGGTTAAAATAATTGAAATTATGCAGTTTTAACTTTAAAATAAAAACAATCTAGCTTGATTACCCAACAAGTAATACCGTAAAACAAGCTAAATTTGTTTCATTATATTCTAATAAAATAAACATTTATTTCGCAAAATTAAAACACGATAATTTAGATAAAAAACTATTCTAATTTTAAATAAAATATATACTGTATCAAAATATATTATAAGAACTTTAGATTACCGGTAGTATTGATCAAGTTTAAATATAAAATAGAAATGGAAATTATACTAGTTGGATGAAATTTATTTTTAACATAATTAGCATATGAGAGTGAATTTACGTCAAATAGTATTGAAATCACTGCATTTAAGTGCTAAAATAAATTGAGCACAATCATTTCATTGCTATCACAGTGTGACACAAACTAATCACTCGATATAAATATAAATTCTCGAATTGATATGAATGTAAATAAAATAATTTTCAAAATTCTTTATCATTGAATAAATGCAATGAAATATTAAACGTTAGTTCAAAGATTGCAAATGAATAGAAAGTAAAGTTAAATACAATTATAAGATTAAAAGAAATCCATATTCATAGAGACAGTGAACATAACATTTAGATTGTGGTGGATCAGATAACTTTTGCAATGAACTATTGCCTCCACTTATGATCTTTCCATTTATTAATAATATTCAATCAATGATTAGAAATTATAATGTATATTTAAATTTGTTATTAAATGTAAATTTCCATTATAATGATTATAGTCAAGGACTATTTAAAATATTTATTTAGTGTCATGTCAATAAGAATTATATAGAATCTATATATTATTGACTTTTAGTTCAA